ACACAATCTATCTATCTCTTCTTAGGGCGTCCCCTCCCTTTACATCCAACTTAGGCTACTTTTATTTTAGAGAAATAAAGTTAAATTCCACGCGGACGTCTTCGCGAGCTAGTATTACCTAGGTGTATATATTATGTCTACCTGTACCTTATCTACTCGTTAGGAGATGTTAGAATGTTTCAGTATATACCTATTATGAATGCTCGTATGCTAGTGAGTAATGTTGTATTATAAATGTAGGTATATCTATGTATGTAAATTTGTAGATCGCATGTTGTTGCATCTATATCACACTATCACATTTTGCGCAATAAACATTTATTTCATTTCACCTATTATTAGATAAACAAATGAATTATTAAAATTGTCTATAGTGTTGAGAATGTCACAAAATTAATGAGTATTTCTCCCGATTTTCTTTGGCCTAAATGTTGATCTATATTTAACAACATTTGAATTTTGATAATTCCATGGAATTCCTGCATCCATGTTTGCGTGAAATATTGACAAGAGTTTTCGTCTTATTACGATATTACGACATTCTCATATACTAGATGTACCTGCGACTTAGTCCGCGTGGATATTAACTTAAGTATCCTAAGTTACTCCTTATTACATCAGTTACCTGCCAATAAAAGTCCCATCAAAATCGGTCCAGCCATTTTAGAGATTAGACGGAACAAACAAACAGATAGAGAAAAATTGTAAATGTTATTTTGGTGTATATATCGTATTATATATTCATATGCATGTAGTAAAAAATAGTTACTTCAATATTACAAGAAGATACTCCAATTTTATTTATATGTATAGATAAATATAAAGAAATGATAAAGGTTATAAAGATAATATTTCAATTTGCAATGCACCTGAAAATATCAATCTTTTACAATAATATATTCTTTTAAGATAATTTTAGGACTCACTATCGGTTATCCAGTTCGTAAAGATAAGTTCACAGGGTACATTGTAAAAAATATACATTAATAGTAAATAAAGTTTTATTGAAAAAAATTATCTTATATCTATGATAAACGAAACAACATATTGTCACCAATACAATCTGTTCAATGTTTATTCCATTACATACTTCCCATTCTTCATAACATCTCATACCAAGAGCACAATACCTACTAATTCTTCACAACGCTAGCCTCAAAATCTTATTTCGCAAATACTTACTATCCCCCTATTAATTTTACTAAAAAATAAAGTAAATAAAAGAAAAGATTAGTAATTTTCTAAAAATTAAATATTTTCTGCATATTTTTCTCAAATTACGCATTAAGAGAGTAGGTATATGCTTTAGGTATATTAGAAATTAAAAAAAAAACCTCAGAACGATATGAAAAATATAATATTTGATCATCTTAACCACAAATAGTAGTTCTACTTTTAATATTAATTTGTGAATATATATCTAATAATAATTTATTATTTATCTACAAGCAACTGTCAACTTGTATATCTCTAAAATGCTGGAGTCCATTATAGAGACATGCAAATGTTACACAATTTTTTAATGCATTGGTAAAAATCATAGTCAGAATCTTATATACTACCACCAATACCGTCTTTATCATAAGTGCACACGGGGCCCGTGCCCAGGGCCCCCGTTCTCAGGGGGGCCCCGAAGGACTGACAATTTTTCTCAAAAGATTTTTGTCGGGCACACTACTCTTTTTTCACAAATCAGTAATGTTATCAGAAGGTATTTACAAGGTATATATTACGCCATCATAACGATTAGTTCGCCTATTCCTATCTACCTAATGAGCTTTTTTTTTTACTTTCCAAAAGCGCCCCGAAATCTTGGGTGCCCAAGGGCCCGACCCTAGTTTAAGACGGCGATGACAACCACAGATATATTACAAAGTAGGTACTAGAACGGCGACTATGAGCGGATTATTTATCTGTCAAACTAGATATGTCCCCATCAACAAAAAACCTAAAAAGTAAATAAATCACTACGGACCTATATGATTCATAAGAGATGCAGCTTTCCATTTAGTACTTTAATATTTTCGGTTGTTGATTTTTACATTTATTTATTTTAATACTAACCACCAAAAGGTAAACAATAATATGAAACTTAAAAACGATAATAATTTAGATACCTAAGCTTAGCTACGACAAGGAATATATATTTATTATACAGACATATACGAAAATAATACAAATTTAAAAAACCCTAACCATGAATAAAATCTAATGTACAGAGTACCATTTACGCATCTTGTAATCTATTATTACAAACATGACGAAAAACATAAGGAAAATTCGGATAGTGTCAGTAAAAGAATGACTACCCAATACGACAAACAAAATAGCATTTTCTAACCATGGTTGGGCATTAATACCTCATGTAATAATAATTACTAACTATATAGTTTTAAACGGGAAATGAACATCTAGTGTTAAGAATTAGAACTAGGTATATGATTAGCTTACTGCTAATATGCATACTGGCTTTGATAAATATTTTGAAATACTATGATAATTGAAGTAACTATTACATTCTAAGTGCAAAGTGTCAAAAAGTGGACTATAAATAATCTAATATTGTCTTAGTTTTGGTAAATGTTCACTATTTTAGGATAGAAGAAGAAATGTGAAGGAACAAAAGAGGTAAAGTTACTTATTTTGTAAAGTTATGCAATTCTATTACATTTGCGAGATTTTGTGATATTATCTCATATACATAATTTTACACTATGAGAACATGAATATAATTCTAATAGTTGCATTATACGTATATTTTGATCTACAAGCACAGTTAATTCTATAGGCAGCGTATTTTTTTTTAATTTATTTACTTTGTTATTATTGTTTTAGTAGTTTTAATTACATTTTTAATTTTCTTTTGTTTCATTTTCTTGTTAGATTTTTATGTAATGATTTGTATGGTGTTATTTTTATTTATATATTATAATAATGTATATACTGCTGTGAGCATCATCATTGTAGTGTTCTTATGTTAGATTGTAATAAATATGATTCTATAATATATGTAATTTAGAAATTTAAATATGTAATTAAGTTAATATTTTGTAACAATTATATAAATTTTAATTTTATTTCCTGACATTCACACATTCATTCTAATTATTTAAACAATATAGAGTGCATTGAAATAGTATGCACAAATGATTGTAATTGAATAAATATGAAGCTGTTTTTGTGACATGAGTATAGCCTTTACAATTTATCGACTGATAATGTATATCTTAAATTTAATGTAACAATAACGAATGGACATTTTAATAATTGTGTATATAAATGTAGTTGTGATAATTTGTTCAAGTATATAATAGTATCTACTACACAAGTTCACTAAACTGAGTCATACTCGTGACCGGGTGTTGCTTGTGGCGACTGGTCAGTTCGGGTTACGAATACTGATTAGACTATTTGCCTTTGCAATAACATATGCTGGTCGTTCTATTCTCCCAAATTTGAATTTATAATGAATCTGTATTATTGTAAACATGTTCAACATTTATTTGAAAAAAATACGAGCTGAGTTTCTTGTCAGTTCTTCTGATCTCGAAATCATCCCGAACTGACGGTAGGTTTGACATATCATAGGCCTATATGAATAAAGATATTTTGAATTTGAAAAATAATTGACATATTTTTGGCAAGAATGGTGTTTAATATTTACCCCCAATCACATTATTGCCTAAGAGATTTATGTAGAAGTTCTGCAAGCTAAAATTTTTTAACAATAAACTACACAGTAGTGAGTAGAAACTTATATAGTAATTAAGTTATTACAGCCTTGATCACTAAGCATTATAATACAATTTCTTTTTTAATTACACCGAGTTTTTTCTAATTTAAGGTGAACATTTCCTCTAATTACTAATTCAGCTAAGATCAAGATAGAAAAGTTTAATAAATTAATGATAAATATTAACGATTGTCGTTTATGGACAGATATACCAATGTACAGTTAAATAAACTAAGTATTGGACAGAGTTATTGTTTACTCAAGAATACCGCAAGAAACCTATACTATAAAGTATTACGTTTGAATTTCCTCGATCACATTACTTGTAGTCCTACAAAGTACATATTAATGTAGGGCGATATAAAATAAACATTTGCTTCTGGACTATATGAATCTATTAACTGTATATACTGTAGCATTATTTACATATTAATATAAGCAATTCATGCATTATATTATAAAGCTATCCCCCCTAATGTACAAAATGTATAACGTTTAAATAATTTAATATAAATATTTTATTTAGGACATTCTCTGCTACTTAAAAAATTAATTTAATTTATCCCTATTACCGTATTTTAAGTAATTAAGTAACAAATCATTCGTGTCTTGGTAACACGGATTTTATACTTTAGCTATACACACTCTTGAATACATTGCCCTCGCTATTGTCTCGGTCTGCCCAAGTGGCAAACTAATATATTATCTTTTACTAAATATTAGTAATAATAATCTTATTCATGAGTATGATTGTTTTCTATGTATATTATGTATGTATTTACAAAAGAAACCATCTATGTATTTATATCAGTTGTCTAGTACGCATACCACAAGCTCTACTTAGCTCGGAACTAGACGGCGCTGTGTTAATTGTCCAGGGACATTATTATTAAATAGGATTCACAACAATAAAAAGGACCTAATGTTACTAGAATAAATGGAAGTACAATATTTCACTTAATATTAGTTTCCCTACTATCGTTTAATAAATTAAAAAAATCCCTCCCTACACCAGTCTAATAATAATGACATAAAAATCTTACAGCAACAAGATAATAGAAAATGACGATCAAATGAAACGGAAATAGGACAACACTAGGATTACAGTTTCACGATAGATACAGATGTTTTTAAGAGAAATACACATATTAGGCACTGGGGTCGAGAATGGTAAAGGAATAGGGTTTTTTTAAATAGCATTTAAGTAAAAATGTAATGTTTATTTTCATTTTCGACCCAGTGTACTTCAATGAGCAGTTAATTTATGAGAATATGAAGCACAGAATAATAGACACAAGTTGAATTTACAGTCAAACAAAATTTGTTACAGCTGTTGTTCTTACAGCTTTTTTGTAGACAAAATTTTGATTTCAACTAATCAAAAGAAAGTTTAAATTATAACGGATATATAAGTTATAATATTACTTTATAATTTCAACACATTATTATAACGATTGAGCATTTACTCTGTTTTTTTATTATTTCTTTTCACCAATTGTAATATAATTGGCTTGTACAACAAAGGCCATGGGAGGAATAATAAGAATCCTGAAAAATAGAGAGATGTGTATACTTGCCACCACTTCGAATAGACTTTAACATCAAACGGTACCAAACTCCATCCCATAAAGACTATAGCATATGTTTTAAGGAAAATAAATAATAACACCTTAACAATACCGTGCGATCTCCACTTCTTGTACAATTCAGTTTTCTTGATTATCGTTTCTAACTCTTTCTCCATATATATTATAATGAATTCATTGAAGAATGTAACGTAATACCCGGACCTGATGCCGTGCCACAGCGCCAAAAATAGCAACGTACAAAATTGGCTAAGATGTCGGTTACCTAAAAACTTCAGACGTTTGTAAACATACTCGGCCGCAAAATAGTTCGTGTTGCAGTTGAAACTCTCGATGTAATGTTGGAATTTTGTCGCCGACTCGAACTGCATCAGTTTTATGTTATTACACGCATTCCACTTCGTTATCTTCTTCCCATCGTCATCTGTTGCCAAACCGTTGTATGACAAACCAAATCTGATGCATGAAGCTAAAAAAAAAGTTCACTATTAACTGAAGATGCTAATATAATTCCGTAAATGTGTATGTATGTAAATTTATTCATTATAACAATAACGTGGCTACTATAAAACAGAACTTGTAAGGTGTAGTTAACAATATTATGAATTTCTACTTATTTTTTTTTTAAATGTCATAGATTAATTACTACCAGGATTGAGGTGGAACTGTTGTTTATTCATACAGTTAATTGAAAGTCATATTGAATTATTGTTGATGAAATCACTAGGATATCCACTTAATCTATTGTGAGGAATTGACCTCATTTCGTGCTCATTACATCATTTTGTATATAGCCTACTTGTGGTGACGGAGACTAAGTAGTTAAAGTGTATATTTAAAAAAATGCGGTACTTTAAAAATGAATATATTAAAAATATATATATATTAAAAAAGGAAAATATCTCAAGTATGGGACTAAGTAGCTTATGTGTATATTTAAACGCCGTACTTTGAATTCAAATTCAAATTCAAAATATCTTTATTCATGTAGGTCTATTACAGACTCTTATGATATGTCAAATCTACCGTCAGTTCGGAATGATTTCGAGATGAGAAGAACTGACAAGAAACTCAGCTCGTATTCTTTTTTTAATGTTGTACATATTTACAATAATACTATTGAATATATATAAAAAGAAAAATTGAAAAAAAAAAGAACAAATAAAAAAAAGTAATTCCCAAATATGGTAGTAATTCTTACATTAGGCTAAGGTTATACCAAAGAGGTAAAGGGTGCGCCCCGAAGCCCTAAACTTTACCCTTTTGTGGGGGTGCTTATGACCTGAGTTAGTACTTTTTGTAAAGGTATTGTTACCAATGTATGGTGTGGATAGAACAAAATCTTACAGATACCACTATTAGAAAGTTTTAATGTAAAATGTATTTAACAACGTTATAAAGGAAGACATCATTATCCATTTAGTAACTAGTTATTAAAACTAGCACATGCAAGGTTAACGTAACGTGTACATAGAGAACGTAATTTCAAAATAATTATGATTATAATACCTTCCGTGAGCAGCCAGCATGAAACATATTTGTAAAGAGCAAAGTGGGCCCATAACCCACAATATATATGCCGATAGAATATTGAATCCTCCGAAAACTCATCCGAAAGCATGTACTTCATATTGAAAAAGCCAACTGAAAACAAAGCATGTGATTAATTAACATAACAATACTGTTCAACTGGTTTGTTTTAGTATTACATGATATTTTGTTGAGACCTTCACATTTGGCCTATATACCTTTGGAAATGTACGTTGGTATGAGCAACTGTTCCTACAGTAAATTTAAAGAATTAAGAATACCTACAAGTAGGAGTACCTAGAGTACAATAATTTTATTAATATTATAAACGCAATAAACGCGAAATTTTGTGAGTAGCGTGGATGTTTGTTACTCTTTCACACAAAAATTACTGAACGGATTTTGATGAAACATTAGAGATATAGATTATACATCAGAATAACGTTTAGGCTATAAATTTCAAGCCTAAACGTTATTCTGCAGTTTCTGCAACCGCAGGCACAGCTAGTTATTCCATATAAAAAAACTTACCTCCAACTTGAAATGCTATCAAATAAAGTATTCCTTGAATAAGTCTACAGAATCCTTCAGCTTGGTAAACTTTGGTTTCAGATTGAAGTGGGAATTTATCAGATATATAGTCCTTGTACCGTCGGAATGAAAATATGGGTCCGACCAGGAAAGAAGCGGGGAAATAAAGAAATCCCATCAACTCTAAGAACGTTGGTGCTTCGACCAATGCTGTTATTTTATTGTTCTCCGACAACTGTTTACCCCTTACCAAAAGCTGTCCATCCCACAAATCATAAGACAATGCTATTAACTTTAATGTTAATACACAATGCGGCATAGTCCAAGTTATATCATAATCTTCTGATTCAGTGACCACATACCCGACCAATAGATAAGTCATGTTGAAAACAAAAGAGACTATTGCATTCAGTTTCCCTGGACCCAGGAACATGGTGGATAGATAAATTACGATTCCAGGTATCGCATTGTGATACATAGTGGCACCAAAATTATAGTAAGCAATATCCATTCCTGTCGCTATGAAATATAAATTTCTGTATTGTTGATGAATTCTCACATACTTATGGTAAAATATGGCTAGGGGATAAGCCATTACGATGGACACAAGCAATTTCAGTGCCGGTTCAGTTGTGCCTATTAGGTGCGCAACAAAAGGCATTGGGTTGATTCCCACCCAGCCCAGGGTGGCAAGAAATAAGCCAAACATTGTGGATTAATCTGCAAACAAATTTGTGAACATTACTAATTAAATATTTAGAGCATATACTAATTAATTTTTAGGCAAAATATATTTTCTTTCTATCACAGGTGATATATAAAGATTTTAATTGTAATATAAAAAGATTACTTAAGTCAATTATGCTTTGGATTGAATAAAATTTATACATTTTTGCTATATTTAAAAATGATTACAGAATATATTCCTATTATAGAAACAATAAGTTAAATATCCTTATTTACAGTTACAGTTACATTACAGTCCTGATAAAGGAATTTGTATGGCATCTGCTAAGAAAGCATCAAGACTGAGCAGAATACACCCTTGAAATAACTGTTCTATTTTTGAAATGTCATGATGGATGGGAAACCCTGCCACTGAACCTGTCTATGCGAAATGGCACCAGCGAGTTACACACAAGTTTCTTGTTAATTCTTCTTGTGATGAGAAAGCTTCCGGATAAGCGGTAGATAAAGAAATTGTTATGACTATTCAAAAGTGCTTAAATTAAGTGTTGTATAACAATAATTGTTTGTGTCTTTAATTATCACCCTCAATATAACTTGTTATCAAAAAAGTCAAATATGTAAGCCCCAATATAAGCATTCATATTAAAAAACATGATTCTAAAATCTAAACATGTTTTAATGCATAATATTAAATTTATTTGAATAAATGATTTTCTATTCCATTCTATAAGAATGCAGTTATTGCAGGACCATGATATTAATATATATTTTTAAAAGGAGAGAACGGAACTGTCAATTATGAGGACTAATGATTCCACTGCTAGCAATGTGAGGTTGATCTAAATGTGGATTTCCCTACAAACCATTGTGATAATTGGATCCAGTGGATTTCTCACAATATGCAAACTGACCTGACCTCATACTCATCTTATAATCTGCCTTGCCCCTACTGGTGCTCTACCAACTTCAACATCATTCCATTATGACCATTGATCAAATACAAAAATTGGGGGCGAAAGGTAGTAGTAATGTAGATTGTTAGTTATTTAGACTCTCAACCCCATAGCTAGCAATTTACCATGTCAGGTTGACCTCAATGTGGTTCCCCCAACAAACTATTGTGAAAAATTTCCAGTGGATTTGGCACAATATGCAAACTGACCTGACCTCATGCTCATCTTATAATCTGCCTTGCCCCTACTGGTGCCCCATCAGCATACAAAAATTATATATTGCACAGTGATTATGCACAAAGTAGAAAGATATTGTATAATAAACAGTCTTCAACCAAAAATTGAACAGTGTTTTGGATTGTAAAGTAATCTAATTTATTTTTATTTTCAGTAAAAGTAACCTACATAACATTTTGAAAATAGCTTATTAGGATATGGTAAAGGTTAGGTCTGTAGTTAGTTTTATATAAAAATATGTAGTTATGTACTTAAAGGCTAACAGATTGCGCATTTTTCCTAGCATATCAGGAAAATTATCAAATTTTAAGCACTACAATTTGTGATTTAATATGTTTATATGAGGTCAACAAAAAATAGAAACGTATACCATAAATTTCTACCAAATAATAGTATTGATATATTACAGCAATAAACTATTTACCTCAGCCTATCATTTATGCCATTATATTAAAACATCTCTCTGGTTTTTAGAAATATATGAATAAAATTAAGATGCTAGTAAACCAAAGTAAAGGGAGATATAGTGTAATAACGTAACTACTACTTACCAGGGTAAATTGCAAAGTAGATACTTGGAGAATTTGAAATAATAGGACTTGCTGTATAGATGGTAAGAAATAGTGTGAATTGTCGCTTTTGGACTTTACTGATTGACTTATTTAATATTGACTGACATTTCAATATCCACTGAGCGAGTAATCACTACGCTTAGAAATGTAGTTACGAAACTGCTTTGAGCCTCATCGTCATAATCTGTGTGCAATACGAAGTTGTGGAGCCATATTGATTCTATATACGAAATTGAGAACGTGTGTTTAAGGTTGGCAACTCTGGTGGATTTGGGGATCGATTGTTTTTAATATTCTGACTGAAGGACAAACATTGTCTTTGTTCATTGTCTTTGGTTTACTAATAATTCCTACGTTACAAGGAGAAATAATACAACAACTTGACAACTACTAGTTACCAAGGTAAATTGCAAAGTAATTTATTTTTTATATGATTTGCATATTCCAAAGAAAATATATTTACACAAAAATCTTGTTACTTAAAGCAATTCTTGTTCAATATTCAATATATTATTAAAAATAACTACATCCTAAGTACGCAAGGTAAGTGTATGTAGATATTTGTTTAAGAGCTCTCACAACAAATGAAAATGAGAATCTTTAACCATATACATGAAAAAAGAGCGGGAAACGTTAAGTATTTTATGAGTAATAAATTATTAATATTTAAATAGTGATCAGATAAATTGTAAATAGTGTATGTTTCATTATTAGTTTAGTAGTAGCAGCAAAGTTAGGTAAGTCTCTGTATTTTATTAATATGAGAACCCGGGAGTACTGCCTCCGAGGTAGCATCTAGATTCCATGGAGACAGGCTGTTCATTTAATTTATCTGTTCATATATTTATCTGGTACAAAACGTAACCATGAATCTGCAATGAATGTTTGCAAAGATTCGCTTTGCAAGCATTGCAATAAACGTAGGAATCTAGGTGCTGACACACGTAAAAATAAATTTTCATGCTCTTGCATGCATGTATGATGATTTTAATGATAAACAAGATACTTCCAATATATCTCTAATAAATAATCAGGGTAAGCAAGAAACATCTAATTCTGGTTTAATAAATAATCAAAACCATGATACCACTCACCCACAAACTTGTATTAGTAGAGTTTACTGTCAGCCCTATGATGCTGCTCCATACATAGTTCATATTGTATCTTTATCGCATGATAAAACTTTGCTTCACCAAGGGACATTAGCCATTACCTTAATTAAACTAAAGAGAAAGTACTTTATTACTGGAATATCTGAGGGACAGAAACAGTTGTCATAACATTCATGAACAGGTTCTAACCAAATGAGTTTTTATAGGTTATAATTTCTTACCATTGATTTATATATTTACTGTTATTCAGTGTTATAATAGTTGTATATATAGACATGATAAGAATCACTGTGGATCAGTACCACATTGCTATAAATGTGGAAAGGGCCAATCTAGAAAATCCAGTATACTTTATATCTTTACAGTATATATGCATTTATCAATGAACCCTGATTACATTTTTTGGTTTTTGCAATAGCATATGCTGGTGGTCACTCTATTCTCCCAAATTTGAATTTAAATGTATCTGTATTATTGTAAATATATAGAACATTTATTTGATAATAAATAAAGAGTTTCTTGTCAGTTCTTCTCATCTAAAAATCATTCCATACTGACGGTAGATTTGACATATCATAAGAGTCTGTAATAGACACACATGATAAAGATATTTTGAATTTGAAAATTCAATTCCTTAAACACTCCTCATCACTTAAATAGAATTAATTATAAACATTTTGTCAGTATGGTCTATTAATTTTGGAAATAGTAATTATAGTTGTAATTCTAACTACAGGGTTTTTGGAAGGGCCTTTCTCAAGTCTATTTTAAGCCCTATTTTGTATAATATACTTACTTATGACTTAAAAAATTCAGTAACAGATTCAATTAACAAAAGAAACATATTATAGAGTATTATATATATCTCAACATTAGCTCAATACCTGCTCAATTTTGTAGGATTACACATTATTAGCAACATAAATCTAATCCTTGTTTAGCTGAAAGTATTAAAAGTTATTGTCTTTTCACTCCCACCTGTAAATATAAAGCTTTCCTCTCTACTGTGTACCATACAAAATATTAATTGTTATACCAGATGTTCATTTAAATATAAATATTACTAAAATGATCCTAACTCTAATGAGATGTTTATCTACTTTATGGATGTAAAGAAAAAACATTGAAGTCATACCAAAATCTGCCATGTGTTTTGTAAAGCATCTAACATAACCCTTCCTGGTTGTGTCAGTATTGGAGTTTACCATACATAATTTGATATAGTTAAAAAATATTTACTGCCCCTTAAAACTTACCTTTTTACAGAGGAATATTTGGCATCATCAAAGCCATAGGCATTATGTTGTATATCTCAAAACTATTTTTATGTAAAGCATTATTATTTGTATTATTATATATTGTAAATGTATAATCTTCAAAGATTAATTCCATACAAAATAATCCTATATATACTTATTATTTGGTTCTATAATTTCCTAAACTTTGGTTCTGGCAAATGCACAAACATGCCAAGGATTGAAAAAGGAATTGAAAAACATACATGCTGTGTCATTGTGCAACTGTGAAATACATAATTGCGATATATTTGTCTGGTATTATTATCGCTTTTAAAGCTTAGATTGTTTTTTTATTTGTAGACAGCAGTAGAAAATGGAGTCTGGTGGAGATTGGTGTCTGATTGAGAGTGACCCTGGTGTTTTTACACAACTGATTAAAACATTTGGTAAGTGCAAACTCTTGAGTTTTACACTATGAATTACAATAGGAAATAAGGCCATAATTTTCTGTACTATGTGTTTGTAGCCTATTTATAGTAAAATTTTATAGGCTATGTATGTTACATAATCTATAGTCTTTTTCTAAATACAAGTTATGACCTGACACAAAATGTAGCAAAAATGGGTGTGAAGGATGGAGACCAAGACGACAAGCAAAAGCAAACAGCATCGTTATAGTTGTAGAATATTTGTGTATTAAATTGACTTATGTCATATGAAAACAATATAATATTTATAAAAATATAGACAATAAAAAAGGTTTATAAAATAGTTTCCAACAATGGAGACATTGTGAACCACAGATGAATTGTGTCAGTTAGTAGAACATAATTAAATAACCTATTATGATAATAATAATATTCCCAATAGAAATAATCTTTATTTAGATAAACTCATTACAAGCACTTTTGAATAGTCATATTTTGATTCTACCATTCATTCGGAATGCAGATTCATCACAAGAAGAATGAGCAAGTTGTGTTGCTCTTTTGAATAGATGTTTTTTATATATAATAATTACAGTATAAAAAGTAATATCATTTCTTTTATATTTATCTTGTGTTATATAATATTTCTATTATATATGCTTTGTTTGCACAAGAAACAAAGCTACCTAAATATATTTCATATACAGTTAAAATTTGTTTACAATTTTGCCAAAGAATTCTGGTAGGTCTGACCATGCTGAGTATTGTATACATTTATTAGAATACTCAGACATGGCTGCATGTGTGAGTATTTGTATCTGTATCTATTTAGTGTAAATTATTGTAAAAATTTTTTTGTTAGGTGCAAAAGGAGTACAAGTTGAAGAATTGTGGACCATCGACAATGGCATATTTGAAAATTTAAGGTGGGTGGACCATGATTATAATTTTATTTACTAATCTAAAGACTCAGCTGTTAATTGTGATGTAGTTTTTTAACTGTCAGTGTACTTTATAAAGTTTTATATTACAGGCCTGTGCATGGACTCATATTCTTATTTAAGTACTTACAACATGAAGAGCCAGCTGGTCCTGTGGTCACGGACAATCGTTTAGACAAGATATACTTTGCTAAACAGGTTATTTTCCTTCTGTATTATATTTAAGAATTACTTTGTGATTTTTTTTGATCATAAATATGTTTCATAAAAGAGCATTATAAAAAATTTCAGGTAATAAATAACGCGTGTGCTACACAAGCTATTATTAGTTTGTTGTTGAACTGTGCACACCCTGATGTGGATATTGGTCCAGAACTCACAAAACTAAAGGAATTCAGTATGTCATTTGACCCAATAATGCGAGGATTATCACTCAGCAATTCTTCAACTATTCGGACGGCTCATAATTCTATGTCACAACAAGTGTTTTTTGAGATTGATCCCAAAACTGCATCTAAGGTAATTTTTACTGTCAAGATTTATTGTGTTTTGCTATTTTGCATGGTTTTCAGTTGTAATCATTTATGTAAAATTGAGTAAGTTAATATTAATTACATTTGTCTCTCATTTATGGAATGTCTGATGAAACTAAAAGTGATTTTCAAAAATATAAATGTTATGAGGTTGCTTTTCTGTCCCGTATTTATATTATGATATTTATTTGCAGGACGATGATGCATATCACTTTGTAGGCTATATGCCAATTGACGGCCGATTGTATGAACTGGATGGTCTTCGAGCAGGGCCTATTGATCATGGTCCCATAGGTCCAGGACAAGACTGGCTTGATGTTGTCACACCCATCATTAGGAGGAGGATCAATGTGTAAGATGTTTTTAATGCTCAAAATTGACAAAAATGCACTGTATTTTTGTTATATGTTAATAGTTTTTTAATTGTATGTTACATGTTTGTGAATTCTGAACTGATAAGCAGAGTTTATAGATAACTATGTTTAAGTAATATCTAAAAATATATTATGGAGGATATTCTATCAGACACCATTTTCAGCAGCATTTCTGAACAGTTATTTACTTATTTTTATTTATATCTACTATATTAATTTTTAGATATACTGAAGGAGAAATACGCTTCAATCTGATGGCTTTAGTCTCAAACAGAAAAATGGTATATGAGCGTCGTCTTGACGAGCTTCTGTCTGATACATTCGATGGCACAAACTCTGATGCAGTAGACACTGACATACCCAATCTCAGAATGTTAATAGAATATGAAGATGTAAAGATGGCGCGCTATGAGCAGGAGATGATTCGAAGACGCCACAATTATTTACCATTTATTATAGTTCTTCTTAGGATTTTAGCAGAACAGAATTTGTTGGTACGGTTATATGAGGAAGCTAAGGAACGCGCAGCTCAGAAGGGACAGAAGAAAATATAACACGAAGTCACAGGCGGATTGAAGGTAGAACGCGTGCGAGGACCTCGCCGCGTCTCCCAGTCCAGCCCCTCACGTGTGTTGCGTGCATCTGAAGATATGCAATATACATTAGCCGATTTAGATTCCGTGTACCGTGAAACCGATGACATACAACCAAGCTTCAATCTAGATGATATGGAAATAACACCACTGGAGTTACCCACAAATCCACATAACACATTTGTACCACCCCAACTAAGTACCTGTCAAGAAATTAATGATGATGTAGTATCAGAAATTGAAGAAGTGTTGATAGATGACACCATTGAATCTGAAATTATTCTTGGTGATGATGATGATCCAGATACTCCAGATCTGCAAATAGATGAATCATTTTTTGATCTGCAGGATTCTCCAACAGATCGGATGGAAGAATAATTTTCTGTTTTAATGTACAATACATAAACTAGTGATATATACGCCTTTGTAAAGATATTGAATAAAATTTAGTAAATTTTTGGCAGCCATCGTACAAATTTATCTTAGTGTTTAAAGTAACAATATTATTGTAAATAAATACATACTGTTACTATAAGAATGTAAAAGAGCAATAATTTCGATTGTTATTTCAAATTAGTGTCTGTCTTACTCTGATATTCTTGAACACTTTGTTCAGAAGGATGGTTACTGCTACAGAACAGCCTGCCTCTTAGATCTGTCGTACATTATGATTATACTGACAGGTTAGAAAAATATTGATTAAAAGTTGATTATATAAATTTATTTTCTGCTTATTTAAAAGCCACTGTTGAATGACGCATTGTTATTTAAATTAATAGATAGTATATTATAAAACAGGTTAATAAGTGTGTAAGTACACAGTTATTCAGATGTTATCGTTGCTGATTATATCAATTATAACTAAAGTATTCCCTGTGTTGTAAGAAATTGCAGTAGATAAATAATATGTTCTTTTATGCTCGTTGGTATTTACTATATTCCTTCGAGTGCATATGTTCAATACTATAGGTACAGTATTATTGAACATAAGCACTGATAACAAATCAAAATAATATAAAATTTGTTTAGAATTAAGTTTTCCCGTTTTTCATGTTCTTACTCATTTTTATTATAGCAATATTGTTTCTTTACTTCAGACGTCTTTAAAATTAGTAAGCACTTTTTTTTATTTTAATAATTCCTTGTAACATTGCATTGGGATTAACGTATAGAAGCACTTGGCTAATATGCCATTAGCAACTATGAATGATACTACAATAAAATAAATATTATATAAATATATTCATATATTTATGAAAAATGTTGTTTTTATATTTGTCTCTATAATGCCGTGTATGAATGCGTACAAACACAACATAATATTGTCATATTATGACAAGTATAATACATATACCATACCTGAAATAATGCATTAGAAAATTTAAGGAAAATTGTTATCGATACTTTTTAGAATGTAGTGGAGTAACTTGAAATAGTCATGCTCGCTATAAAGTTCAAACTTGTGGCGGCGCGATGGGCCGGGTCGATGTGTTCCCTCTAATATGGTTGAGTGCAATGATGGCTGGCTCATCCGTCATACTCGTGAACGGGTGCTGCTTATGGGGACTGGTCTGTTCAGGTTGCGAACACTGATTACATTATTTGATTTTTTTTATACTAGCATATACTAGTGGTCACTCTATTCTCCCAAATTTAAATTTAAATGAAATAGTATTATTGTTAATATGTACAACATTAAAAAAAATAGGAGCTGAGTATCTTGTCAGTTCTTCTCATCTCGAAATCATTCCGAACTGACGGTAGATTTGACATATCATAAGAGTCTGTAATAGACCTACATGAATAAAGATATTTTGAATTTGAATTTGAATTTGAATGGTAACATTATGAGAACTGTCACATGAAACATATAAGGTAATATTACATGAAATAGTAAAATCCTAGAGGTATGTGGAGGATCTTCTGTCTCACCTATTTCATCCGTCTAAGACGTTGCAACTATACACTACAATTTCGGTTGTGAGTTTAAAATTTCAGAATGGCAACACAAGGGTTAGTACTCCTATTATGTGATAACTATGATATTATCCATGTATCCGTGTAAATGATGATGAATGTTATTATACCTCTATAAAATTTGTTAAACAAAAGAAAAGTTAAATCACCAAGTCCACATTGAGGAAGTCTTGGAAAACGGCTAGTATATAATAAAATTACCATGTCCCTTTAACTATAACTATTAATAAAAGACAAAAAATATATTCTTTACTGTAAATTGCGACTTTATGTTATTTACAAAGTGACTTATTTAATAATAATGAATGACATTTCAATATCCACTGAGAAGGTAAACACCTTAATAGCATACCTACGGAACTGGTTTTCGCCAAATCGTAATTGAATCGAAATTGATTCAATATCCGATAATTTTTACTTTTTAGCATAGAGTTGGATATCATTCTTAAAATATGTTTTTTAAGGTTGGCAACTCTGGTGGCCTTAACGATCGATTATTTTACATTACCACTGAAGGACATGCATTTGATGCATCGTCATCGTCGGCTTTGGTAGTTCATTAGTACTTTCTGCAGTTCTAGACTAAATTAATAATTTTAAATTCCAATAAGAATAGAATTTATAAAAATCATCAAAATGTCGAGCAACTGCTATGAATATGTTATTAAAATAGCTACATAGAGCCAGAGTACACAAGGTAAGTTATACACTTAATTATATTTCTTTAAAATCTCTCACAATCAATGAAAATGTAAATTATACTTGAAAAATCAAAACGTGGGGGAACTGTAAAGCATATCGTTCGTATTTTTTTCAGTAAGAAATTATTAATATTTAAATTCCAATCTAGTAATCAAGAAAATATTATTTATTTTTTTCATTATTATTTTATTAGTAGCAGCAAAATTAGGTAGCTATTAATAAAAATATTTGAGTAAAATACAGTATTTTTAAATATTCCCACCGGAAGATACCGGAGTACTGGCGCCGGATCGCTCTACACGTGACTATATGTAGGTAATAATGAAAATTCCGTGGACACAGTCTGTTCATTTAATTTATCTGACGGCTTCGGTGGGCTAGCGGTTTCGCACACCGCATTACTTCCGATGGTCGCGAGTTCGATTCCTCGCCCGGTGCTAACATTTGTATTCATGAATATGATTATTTGTATCGGTATCAGTTAAATAACGTATCATAGTATTAAGTAACGAAGGAATTAAGGTGCTGAAACTAGTTGTAAAATAATTTTTCACGTCTCTACTATGATTTTAATGATAAAAAAAATTGTAAAAATAATTAATTAGGATAAGCAAAATCTTCTAGTCCTGGTTTAATTTTTCCACTCGTCCCCAAACTTGTATTAGTAGAGTTTACTATCAGTTCAGCTAATATATGTGGCGATATTCCTGCTTATAAAATTTATAGTCATTGTTTGGCGGCTCTAGTTGTCTCCTATCTCCGGCAAGCCTGGAATGAGACTTACCTTACCTTCAAACTAGGCCCAACATCATTTTAATATTTAACAAAAATTCCGATGAACCCTTAATTTTATTATATTAACCTTAACAACGCGCAACGACATCTTTATGACAAGAGACGCGTTCGATTGCGAACATGCGGTGTCATGATGCCCGGCAAAATGGCGGCGGGAAGCCGCCGCGCCGGCATTGTAGTGAGTAGCGAGTCTATCAGACCCGCCCGCCCTCGGACGGAGGGGACTCCATGAGGGATTTTCCACACGTAACAGAATAGGTTCCAAAAAAATATTTCTAAACATTAACTTGGTATCATAAAGAATACGTTAATTATACACACACACATTCGTCTTATAAAGTAGTAAATTTTTGATATTTCCTTCTATATTGTATTACGATTAATAAATACTTTGTATTTTTTATGATATTAACATTATTTTATTAGTATATATTGTGTCAATAATTTAAGTAGAATTTCTTTATAATAAACATTATAAAACATTTCAGGTAATAAACAATACATCTCGTCTGGCACAAGCTACTATTAGTTTGTTGTTAAACTGTGTGATATTGGTCCAAAAATACAGCTAAGGGAATTCATTATGTCATACAACCCAAAAATGGGAGGTTTAGCACTCGGCCATTCTTCAAACATTCGAATGGCTCATAAGTCTACGAAACAACACGTGTTGTCTGGTCCCAAAAAAGCATCAAAGGTAATTTTCACTATCAAGATTTATGTATTGTTGCTACTTTGTAGGGTTTTCAATTTATTTAACTCCTAATAATTGATGTGAATATGACGTTGCATTTCTTACCAGTATTTATAGAATTGTATTTTGTTTACAGGACGACGATGCATATCGCTATATGCCAATTGACGGAGGATTATATGAACTGATCTCCGAGTATATGTTCAACAATACTGTTGGTACAGCATTGTTGAACATAGACACTTATGATATCAATTATAATTAAAGTAGTAATCCCCCTCTGTTGTAATAAATTGCACAAGAGACATAATATGTATTTTTATGATCTTTGCAATTAACGTACTCCACCGGTATCAATGTATATGTTCCACAATCCTGTAGGTACAGCATTGTTGAACATAGACACATGATATCTCATTATGTATAACTAAAGTAGTAATCCCTCTGTGTTGTAATAAATAGCAAAAGAGAAGTAATATGTATTTTTATGATCTTTGCTATTAACTGTATTCCTTCGATATCAATGCATATGTTCAACAATACTGTTGGTACAGCATAGTTGAACATAGGCAGTGATGATATCACTTATCTTATGTCTAAAGTAGTAATCTGTACTTGACTAATATGCCATTGTAACTTGGAATGATTCTACAATAAAATAAATATAAGAAAATATTGTGTTTTATTTTCTATCTATAATATCCTGTAGAGATGGGTACAGGTACACAACCTTTATATGATAAATATAATTCATGATTGAATTTAAGAGAAGTTGTTGAAACAGCTAACCATACTTATTACAATGGTAACCTTGTGAGAACGTACATTTGTTAAGGTAGGCTAAAAAGGACTTGTATCCAGAACCGTAACATGAATAAATAAAAAAAATGTAACATGAATAATGAAATATGATTATTTGTATTCATGCACTGTTAAAGAAGAAAATATATTCGATTATTAATAATATCTAGCATCAGGCATGTCGTACAATTGCAGCTGATGATAATATAGTAATGGGTAAAAATTAAAATACAAAATAATGGAAGTGAAATTCTAAATAGGCCTTTTTTTTCCTTTATACCGAGTCGTCTGTGGAGGTAAGTAACCTATTTCAGCCGCCAAAGTGTTTGCTGCACTAATACACTACACTCTGTTTCGGTTGTAGGATGAGTTTAAAATTATATATAGACGAGTCATAACGCCTTTGTGAGGGAAGTTACCTCTGAACTTCTCACGTTAACAGAGTAACTATAGTGGTGTACAAGTAAATAACGTAGAATAAGATAAACAAAATATATTTCTAATCAAGATAAAATAATATAAAAACACATTTAATACAATATACAGATAAGTTATAGATACATCAATACGACGACAGATGACAAAACACACTCTCCTTTCAAATATTCAAACATACTTCATCTGCCATACCAGCCAGTCTAGACATCGATTGCAAACCTCGTTCTAACACTCTTCCTCAATCGTTGCCTTCAGGCTTTCTCTCAATAGCATACTCCTCACAATCCTCTCACACACAAACTAATCCACAACACCCATCTCGCTACGACAGAACTCATGCTTGCCTCTATGCATTGCCTTTGTCATAATATCAGCAACCATTAACTTTGTCTCCAAATATTTCAAATCTATTACTCCATTCTCTAGAGTCTCTCGCATAAAGTGATAACGTACATCCACATGTTTGGTTTGCTGATGGTGTACTGGATTATTTGCTATCGCTATAGCAGACTGACTATTTGAGTGGATTGTTAAGGGTGGCTCTTCCTTACCCAAGAGTTCCTCTAGGAAACGCTTTAAAAACACAGCTTCCTTGGAAGCCTCTGACAGACTGACACATTCAGCCTCAGCGGTTGATATGGCAACACTTCTTTGTTTAGTGCTTTACCATGAAATGGCTCCTTTTGCCATCTTAAATACATTTCCGGAATAGGACTTTCTGTCGACTAGATCATGTGCATGATCAGCGTCACAGAAATCTTGAACTGTTCCTCGTTCATCCCTGTAATATACCAGTCCCAAACTTTTCGTACCTTTAAGGTATCTCAGGATCCTCTTCGTTGCTGTCCGGTGAACTTCCTCAAAACAATTGCAAAATTGACTCATAAAATTCACTGCGTGTGCAATATCGGGTCTTATACATACAGCAAGATACATGAGTGACCCTATAAGTTCCCTACATGGAACTTTCTCATCTGGCCTATGCATATTGTCTGGTTTTATAAAATGTTGACCAGGAACAGCTGGAGTGGCAACTGGTTTACAGTCTTCCATCCGAAATTTGCGTAAGAGTTTTTCTATATACTCTTCCTGATCTATTTTAATGCGGCCTTTCTCTTGTCTGAGCCTCATGCCCAAGAAAAACTCCGCCTTTCCTTCCTTCATTTCAAATTTTGACATCAAGTCACTTTTAACTTTTTGCATTTCTCGTGAATTATTATAGAGGATAAGAATGTCGTCTACATATACTATAAGGATGATAGAATTCTTCTCTGTTCTCCTTGTATATAAACAGGGTTCATTCTTGCAGCGCTTGAAGTTTAAGCTCTCTAGCTCGGTATGTAACTTCAGGTTCCAGGAACGTGGTGCCTGCTTCAAACCATACAAAGATTTCTTTAATAGACATACATAATCCTCTTTACCTTTTTCTTCAAAGCCTGGTGGTGGTCTCATATAAACAACTTCACTGAGATTACCATTTAAGAAAGCTGTTTTGTCATCCATGTGGTCTATCTGTAGACCATTTTGCGCAGCCAAAGCTATCAACAGTCTCAGTGAGCTATGTCGCACTACAGGGGAGAATGTCTCATCATAACCGATGCCTTTCCTCTGATTGAAGCCTCGGGCAACTAAGCGAGTCTTGTATCGAGTTTTATTTCCCGCCTCCTTTTTGATTCGGAATAACCATTTCGAATCAACAATGTTACTCGCTTGATCAGCCTTCACTAGGACCCAAGTTTTGTTCTTCTTTAGTGCATCTAGTTCTTCCTGTATAGCGTCTCTCCATAGCTTGGCATCTTTTCTAGACAGTGCCTCTCTAACATTAAGTGGATCATCTTCTGATATCGCTTGGTAAGTAACGTAATCAGGAAATTGGACAGGTTTCCTTACTCGAGTCGGATATCTCCTTTCTTGCACTTCAGCTTCTCCACTTACGGTTGTAGGTTCTTCATTTAGACTGTCTTCAAATTATGTACACCGGTCAACTTCGTATTCAACATTCTCAGTTTCCGTGATTACATCGGTATGATCTCCATCATTCCTTTGCAAATCATCTTCCTGAACTGCGTCTTCATGTTGAAAATTCTCATTGGGTTGTTCAGCTTCCTCTGAAACATTATCAAGGTTGATGGTTGTATATTTTTGTTCTTTGTTTTCATCGTTTATGCGGTAATACTGGTTTTCAAAAAATATAATAGCTCTACATCCATAACAATTTTCTGTTGAGGGGTGGAATAATTTATATCCCTTTGATTCTTCGGAATATCCAACAAAAATAACTTCTTTGCTTTTAGGAAGACGTTTTGTCCTTTTGACATCTGGGATATGTGCAAAGGCCCTACATCCGAAAATTCTTAGGTGGTTTAGGTCAATTTATCTGCCGGTCCGGTCCTCATATGCTGTTTTTAAATTGTTAATGCACTCGTTGCTTTTCGAATATGTACCTTGCAATGGTTTTCAATCAATATACAAATTTTAGTACGTGCCTTTTGATCTCCTCGACGTGCTACAGCATCTTCAGGGTTAGGTACTTCTTCTACATACTGCCACAGATCATCATGGACTAAAATACACTCCACATCAAACTTCCATGTATCGAAGTTGCTGCTCCCTTGCAGTTTCTCTATCGCTGTGAGCCCAGATCCCGCACTCGATGTTGATGGTATACTCATCTGAGTACTTGTGTTTTTATATTGAATAGAAATAGGGGTGCTCTCACCGTTTTCGTAAATCATATATCCTTAATACACTCCTGTATTCGTATTTACTTGATTTTTGCTGCCCATCACCTGTGAAGGGAAGTTACCTCTGAACTTCTCACGTTAACAGAGTAACTATAGTGGTGTTCAAGTAGGTAAATAACGTAGAATAAGATAAACAAAATATATTTCTAATCAAGATAAAATAATATAAAAACACATTTAATACAATATACAGATAAGTTATAGATACATCAATACGACGACAGACAAGATGACAAAACACACTCTCCTTTCAAATATTCAAACATACTTCATCTGCCATACCAGCCAGTCTAGACATCGATTGCAAACCTCGTTTTTTTTTTATAACACAGGGGTCAAACATTTCGTTCTAACAGCCTTAGTCTTTCAGAATGACAACACGAGGTTTACACGTGTTAAGTGATAACTATTATATATACTTTATTGCACTTATTACATTAATAAACAACGACAGTTGTACAATAATGTGAGCAGGGCGGGCTAATATCTGCAAGAGATCTCTTCCAGCCAACCTAACGCAGTGACAGAGGTGGTAGTTAGCAGGCAACGACAGTGCTTGAGATTTTGTAATAGATAACAATATTCTAATGTATACTTAAAAAAAAAGACATACACACACTTACTAAATATATAAATAATAATACAATAATAATAATTCATAATTTATACTATCATTGTTTGGTGATTTTTACCCGCTATGATCAGTCTATTACCCCATCAAAGGGAGATATATAATATATATATATATATATAAAAAAAATACATTTAATAAATAAATATTATATTATAAATATAATAAAATAATCATATATAAGTACCTAAACAAATGCATACACATATAAGCAACTATTACATATAATTACTATCTTTGAAACCACGTCATGTATTGATGCAAAGGAAATGAGATTTTAATCTTTTTTTAAATGTGGTGATGTCTTTCTTGAATGTGAATTGGCAGGTTATTCCGCAATAAAGCAGCTCTAAAAAAGAATGAATTTCCCATAAAATGGGTTCTACATGTAGGAAGCTTTAGCATTCTAGACTGAACCTGACATGCTCTTATGATTAAATTTTATATTTAAGTATTAAATCTATTATATATTTTAATATAATATTTTATGTATAATATAATATATATCCCTACAGTGACAACTTCTATTAAAGACTTCCCCTGTATCAAATCGCAGCGGGAGCCTAACATTTAAAATATATCAAAATATGTACATTAAAAAAAAAACGGTGAAACAAATAAAAGGGGGAAAAAAAGACATGCTCGTTTTGGACGAGTGGGAGGAGGGAGTAATTGAATCCC